AAGATTCAGCCTCGGCTGGAAAAAAAAAACAATATTTTTATTAAAATAAGAGTGGAACAGTCATACTTGTTTGACGGCCTATGGCTTCTGAAAAAATACGTTGCCACGTCAATGCATTAATTTCTTTTTTTTTTTTTAATATTACCTTTTTGGAAAGCTGATAGACCATTTTTATTATCAATAAAGAAAGGTGTCTTGTTTAAATAGAGGCAGTCTATGATGATTTCCAACAAACTAAATTGCGACCTTTGCTTTCGTTTGCTTTACACAGCAGCTGGTGACACATATTTCTAGCAAATTCATTGCAAAAATAGTCAGGAAAATTTACTTTTAATATGTATACACGTCTTGCTTTTATGCTGTGACTTTTTGATGAATTTAGGCATTTTTAATAAAATATTTTGTTTATCTCCGAAGGATTCTGGAGGATTATTTTACTATTTAGCATTTTGTGCGTTGGAGCCTTTAAATGAAGACAGCATTAAATTTTTTCGCTTTAAACTTTTTGTCTCGAAACAGCGTCCTAGTAACCTTGTTGTAAAGCTCTTCTATCAGTTTTTTTTTTCTTCAATCTTTATGCTGATTTGCCTTTCTTATTTTCCATTACGTTCTGAGACCCAGGTTGATACACAATGTCTGTCTAGATTTAACCACACATCGATAATGTGTGTTTGGCTTGAATGTTTAGTTAGAGGGTATCTTAAATATTCAATTTTGTGACAGGCGTGCAAGTAACATAATACATCACGAAGTAAGGCCCTCTTAGAGGACAATTTATGGAGCGTCGCACTCTGATGCGTTCGAAAAACCCTTTAAAAGTAAAGCAAATTGAGTTCTAGAGCACTTAATCTGTAATCGACAGCAGGAAACTTTGAAGCACTGTTATTTTCTTTCTCTTAACGTTTCAGATTGCGCATACTACGGGATACTCATGTTGATATTTCTCCAGGGAACGTATTTATTATTTGCAACTTGTGAATTTCTCGTAAGAGACGTCTCTTCACTGGATCTTACCGGTAAGTTTTCTTCATTTCGTTGTAGATTCCCACTGTTATTTTTTTTTTTTTAGTGAAGTA